CAGCTCAGAGTGTGGAGCCTGCTTCAGATTGTGTCTCCCTCTCTCTCTGCCCCTCCCCAACTCAGTCTTTCTCTCTCTCTCTCAAAAATGAATAAACATTTTTAAAAAATTAGAAAGACATAAAGGTGAACTAATGGCCATGGTCTAAAAATTGGCCAAGTCCCTAGAGTGATGTTAACAAAGGTAAAAGGTAGAAAACAGGCACCTGGCTGGCTCAGCCAATGGAGCACGCAGCTCTTGAATTCAGGGTTAAGTTTGAGCCTCATATTGGGTGTAGAGATTACTTAAAAATAAAACCTTTGGGGCACCTGGGTGGTTCAGTCCGTTAAGCATCTCTTGATTTTGGCTCAGGTCGTGATCTCATGGTGAGTTTGAGCCACTCAGTGTGGAGCCTGCATGAGATTCTCTATCTCCGCTCTTCCCTGGCTTGTACTCATGTGCTCTTTTTCTCTCTCAAGAATAAACTTAAAAAAAAAAAAAAAAAGTAAATAAATAAAACCTTTTTAGAAAAAGGTAGAAAACAAATTGGGACCTGGTGCACTTGGAAAATAAGACTAAAACCTGATGTCTGGTCAGAAGCATACGGCATGGTTAAGTTTATTCTCATCCTGTGAAGGCAGAAATGGGCATGTGCCTCATCAGCCAGACTGCTGATGAATGGACTTTCCCAAAGATGTCTTGTGGAAACAAGCTTCCAGAACCACAGATCTGCCTTCTAACATTCCAGGAGTGCAACCACTGTATATTTGACACAAGAGTTGGTTAAAAAATATATATATATATTTAAATTGATGACAGTTATGGGGCACCTGGGTGGCTCAGTTGGTCAAGCCTCGGACTTCAGCTCAGGTCAGGCAGGTCAGGATCTCACAGTTCAGGGGTTCGAATCCCTACTGGGTTCTGTACTGACAGCTCAGTGCCTAGAGGCTGCTTTGGATTCTGTTTCTCTCTCTCTCTCTCTGACCCTCCTCCGCTCACACTCTCTCTCAAAAATAAAACATTTTTTAAAATGTTTTTAAGTGATGACAGTTATGGTTTCTTTTCACTCTTCTCATTTTCAGTGACTCCCTCCAAGGAAAAATTTTACCACCTTTCTTCAACCTGCCACATTGTCCCCTCTCCATACACGAGACCACACACCAAGAACACACCCAGTTCTCATCTCCTCACCTTGCACTGCTTCGACAGACTCCTGGGAAACCCACCGCACCCCAAATACCACAGCGACATGTTCAAGGCCCTTACGACTAGTTTCCCTCATAACCTATGTACACCTGGTCCCTGCCACGCATTCTCCGTCACCACCCCACACCGGCTGTGCCCTCTCGTGTCCACGGATCGCTCAAGACTTTCAATGGCTACCTCTGCCCTCGCGATCAGGAGGGCACTTCGCCCTCCACGTACTTCTGACATGTACTGGGCAGCAACCATGGGCCAGGCAGGCAAGACCCATCCCGGTGGCCCCGCTGACAAACACGCCCACTGCCAGGCAGCCCGTGCATGTCCCCGCACACTGCCACCCGCTAACTCTGGCCGGGCCCTCCCCCCCGCTTGAGGGCGCCCGCGCCGGCCCGGAGTGCGGGCAGTTCCCGCCCGAGCCCGCTCTGTCCTCTCGTACGGCAGGAGCAAGCGCTGGAGTGAGACCAGGGCCACCCGCAGGGCCGCCCTTAGTGCTGCAGACCGCGGGCCCTCGACCCGGCCACGCCCACGGCGCGGTCTCCCCGCGGGATCCACCCACCTGGCCTCCGCTTCCGGCTGGGTCCGCGGCTTCACGGTAAGGACCCCCGGCAAGGCTGCCCGGCCTATCGCCCGAAGGACCCCGCTTAGGCCGCACGGGCTAGCTGTCGCGGTGCCTGGTGGCCGGGCGCTGCGGTGGAAAACCAGGTGCATTTAGACTCCCGCCGGGCTGGGGTGCGAACACCCCAGAATCTGGGATGGGCTTAAGCCCCTGTACCAGGGACAGGAGTCGCGCGGCTGCAAGCCTAGAGAAGGGAGAGCCGGGGGGGCGGGGGCAGCAGCGAGGAGAGGGGCGGTGTCAAAAAATGGAGCTGAGTTCTGGGGGATTGGAGAGCTGGGGTGAGGGTGTCGGGGTGAGGGTAGGGGATAGGGAGCCGAGACAGAGCTCGGAGGGGTGGGGGGCTGCAGCACTCCACCTTGGTTAGGAGGATGATGGGCTTTGCAGCCGCCCTCCCGGAAGCGGAGGAATGGACGTCTTCAGTGTGGCGGTGAATGCCCAGGCAACTTCCCAAATTTATGATACTCTGATGGAGTGGCTTTTAAGTTGAACAAATTTCTTGACTTGTCAACATTTGTTGTAAACCAAGGGCCATGACAGTCATTACTTAGTTGGCATTAGGACAGGAACCACATCCTTCTCTGGAGAGGCCTTAGCAGCTTGGCCTTAGTATAGCTGGGTGAGATTCATTCATTCATTCATTCACCAAATACTTTTGAGAGCTAGCTATGTGCTAGGCACTCTGCATAGGTACTGCGAATAAAACAATGAGCAAAACAGACCCCTGCTTTAATGCAGCTGACCTAATGGGTGAAGACATAACTGAAGGAAACGTCCAAGAAGCCGAAATAGGGGAAGTGAGCTAAGATGTAGTGGGTGAGGACCGCCAGGGTGGCGCAGGTCATGATCTCAGGGTTGGTGGGATTGAGCCCCGCAGTGGACTCTGCGCTGACAGTGAAGAGCGTGCTTGGGATTCTCTCTCTCCTTCTCTCTGTGCCTCGCGGCCCCCCCCCCCAAAAAAAACCTTAAAAAATATTTTTTTAAAGTATTTTAAAAAAAGATCTAGTGGGTGAATAGGAAGTAACCAGAGGAAACACATTTTGTTTTTTTGTTTTTGTTTTTTTAATTTTTAATGTTTATTTATTTTTGAGAGAGACAGAGAGTGAGCAGGGGAGGGGCAGAGAGAGATGGAGACAGAATCCGAAGCAGGCTCCGAGCTGTCAGCACAGAGCCTGATGTGAGGCTCGAACTCACAGACTGCGAGATCATGACCTGAGCCGAAGTCGGACACCCAACCGACTGAGCCACCCAGGCACCCCAGAGGAAACACATTTTGGATGGTGAAAATGTCTTAGGCAAAAGCTTAAGGTGGGGAATGATATCATTAGATAATGCATTTTTAGTTTACTGGCTGCTGTGTGGAGAACAGATTGTAGAGGCAGGCTGGAGTAGAAATTGAGAGGCCAACGAGGAGGCTGCTGCAGAACTCCGCGGAGGGTTGAGGATGTCTTGGACTGCTGGTGGCTCTTGAGGAGAGGATTGTATGGATTTGAGATATATTGCTTAGGTAAAACTGCCGGAACTTGGTGTAACGTGGATTTGGAGGAGGTGGGAGGGGAGGTGTCAGGGTTGTCTCTCCCTAGATATATGGTGAAGATTCCACTTGCTTTTGGGTTACTCACAACCTGAGATATTGGGGAGAGTGGCTTGGCTGATCTTGCACTAGTTAAGCTGGACTTTGTTTTGTGATTTGAGTAGGCAAGCACTGCCTTTAACGTGAGCAGCAGGCTACTTTCAGCCTGAAGGAAATGAGAATGTTGGCCAGACTGTCCTTGTGTGTGTTCATGGAAGCCTTCTCCATATTTGTTGGCAAATTTAGGAGCTCCACCAGATAATCTTTTGAGACCTAGTCTTTAGTCCTGAGGAGATGATCAATTTCTCACATGTGAATACAATTTCACAGTTGGGAGAAACCTCAAATTCTTTTAGTCTGATTTATAAAATACTTTTATATTCTTTAATCACGTCCACAGTTATTTTTAAAAATTTTAGGGGTGCCTGGGTGGTTCAGTTGGTTAAGCAGCCGACTTCAGCTCAGGTCATGATCTCTCAGTTCATGAGTTCAAGCCCCGCGTCCGTCTCTGTGCTGACAGCTCAGAGCCTGGAGCCTCTTTCGGATTCTGTGTCTCCTTCTCTCTCTGCCCTTCACTTGCTCAGTCTCTCAAAAAGAAATAAACATTAATAAAAACTTTTAATGTTTATTTATTTAAAAAATTTTAATGTTTTTTATTTATTTTTGAGAGAGAGAGAGAGAGACAGCGTGAGCAGGGGAGGGTCAGAGAGAGAGGGAGACACTGAATCTGAAACAGGCTCCAGGCTCTGAGCTAGCTGTCAGCACAGAGCCCGATGGGGGGCTTGAACCCACCAATCATGAGTTCATGACCTGAGCTGAAGTCAGATGCTTAACTGACTAAGCCACTCAGGTGCCCCAATGTTTATTTACTTTTGAGAGACAGAGACAGAGCATACGTGGAGGAGAGGCAGAGAAAGAGGGAAACTCAGAATCTGAAACAGGCTCCAGGCTCTGAGCTAGCTGTCAGCACAGAGCCCGACGTGGGGCTTGAACCCACCAACCATGAGACCATAACCTGAGCTGAAGTCAGATGCTTAACTGACTAAGCCAACCAGGTGCCCCAATGTTTATTTACTTTTGAGAGACAGAGACGGAGCATAAGTGGAGGAGAGGCAGAGAAAGAGGGAAACTCAGAATCTGAAGCAGGCCCCAGGCTCTGAGCTGTCTGCACAGAGCCCAACACAGGGCTTGAGTTCACGAACTGCAAGATCATGACCTGAGCCGAAGTTGAACACTTAACTGACTGAGCTACCCAGGTGTCCCGTCCACAATTATTTATTGAGCTCTTACACCATGCTAGATACTAGGAATACAAAGATGGATAGAATAAGACTATATAGGTTCATTTAGTCAGTAAAACTGACCTTTGTCCCAGACGCTGTTTCCGCTGCTTCAGATACGAAATGGTTACTAGTCCTTGACCTTGGAATTACATGTCCACAACCCTTGCCCTTGAGGAGAGCTGAGTGTGTTAAAGGATTTGATTTAGGCAGGGGAGGTCCTTACCTATCTGTAAGATTAGATAAGAAATGGTAGGCATCCAGCAGACTTTTTTGGGGGTTTCTTGGCAACATCCCAATTCTTGTCCATCCAATCTTCCAATTCTAGAATCAATGGGAGAGCACAATGGGGTAGAAGGTCTTATGAATGAAAATAGTTATTGTACCTTTGTGGCCAGCCTGTTTAGCAATGTAAATTGTAAGTCTTCTAAAACACAAAGAAAAATTAGAAAGGGAAGGGAATATTGGTAGAGACAGGTAGTGTTTAAACTTGAATTTCTCCTGAATGGGTAACTTCCTTGTACGTAATTGCCACATGCTTTGGGAGTGTCCAGAGTGAGATCACTGTTAGCTTCCAAGGCTGCATGGCTCTGGAGTAGGAAGGGTGGGGACCAGAACACTGAGGGGTTCCTAATCCAGCTTTCTGATGGCAGGAGTGAAATGACCTCGATCTTACGAAGCCCTCAGGCTCTCCAGCTCACTTTGGCCCTGATCAAGCCTGATGCGGTTGCTCACCCCCTGATTCTGGAGGTAAGAAGGAATCTTAAGCCTCTACTGTATGTCCTGGGCATGACTTCTGTTTCTGGGGCCGCAGGGCCTCTTGTGAAGACTGACAGCACAGTCCTGTGCAAGATGCCGTGGAGGCAAAGCTAGGAGCCATGGACTCAGACCCTAAGAAGACTAAAAATCTACTGGAGAATTGGGGCAGATAAAAATATAAGGATCCAATACAATAAGAAGAACCAAACCTCAGGACAATGTATGTATATTAGTTTTCTATCTCTATGTAACAAATTACCACAAATTTAGCAGCTTAAAACATTTATTATCTCACAATTCTAGAATTTAGAGGTGCAGGAGGCACGGCTGGGTTTTTCCTCAGGGTTTCACAAGGCCACAGTCAAGGTAGCAGCTGGCCATATCCTTATCTGGAGGGTCTGAGGAAGAATCCACTTCCAAAGTCATTCAGGTTGTTGGCAGCATTTGGTTCCTATGGTTCAAAGACTGAGGTCCTTGCTGGCCTGCAGGCAAAGAGTGCTCTCAGGCTTTAGAGGCCGCTCACATTCCTCCTCCCACGGCTCCCTCCATCTTTAAGACAGGAACAGCGTGTTCAGTGCTTTTCATGCTTTAAATCTGACTTCTCTGTTAGCCCCTAGCCAGATAAAACTCAGCTTTTAAAGAGCTCATGTGATTAATTGGGCTCATCTGGATAATCTTCCTTTTGATTCAACTGTTAGCAACCTTAACTACACCTGCAAAATCACTTTTGCCGTGTCATGTAACACAATCATATTGCATCGTATTCAGAGCCCTGGAGAGTAGGGTGTGGAATCTTGGCAGGACTGGGGGAGGGTCACTGATTTAATCTGTCATGTGTGATGGTTTGGGGAGAGTGGGACAAACTCAAGGCAGGACCACTATCAAGGGATTTTTATGATGGTGAGAGGTGGGGTGTATGGGCTTCAGCTCCAGGGACTGTAGGAATGGAGGGGTCGAGATGGCACTTCCTGCCCCCTGCACCGGAGGCTCACGTTCTAGCCTTATGGCTGAAGGTCTTTACCTCACCCCACCTTCCTTCTCTTCTGACCCAACATGGGACAGACCATCAAGTCCTGGGCTCTGATGGGTCCTCATGGTTCTTTAGGTCAGCCTGGATTTCCTATTCACTCAAATGGTCATTTGGGCTGATTTTTTAAAATGTTTATTTATTTTTGAGAGAGAGAGCACGCATGTGCATGTATGAGAGAAGAGCAGGGAGAATGGGGAACAGAGGATCTGAAGCTGGCTCTGTGCTGACAGCAGACAGCCTGATGGGGGCTTGAACCCATGAACCAAGAGACCATAACCTGAGCCAAAGTCAGATGCTTAACTGACTGAGCCACCTAGGCACCCCATCCGTTTGACTGATTTGTATCTTCGACGTGTTTATCCAGGCTGTTCATCAGCAGATACTGAGCAACAAGTTCCTTATTGTACGAATGAGAGAACTTCTGTGGAGAAAGGAAGATTGCCAGAAGTTTTACCAAGAACACAAAGGTAGGCTCAGCAGTCCTCTGAATGGGAGGCTTCTCTGTCCCACGAGGTGTGCAAGGACACATGAAGGCAGGCTGTCTCTGACCTACCAACTGTACAATTATGGCCATTTTCTAAAGTCTTTCTTCATACACAAACTTTTCATAATTATCATTCTTTTAAAAATATTTTCTAAGAGGGTTCTACTCCGTAGCCCAATTGGAAATTTAGTTTTATGTCCTGATGATATCAGTAGGTAATAGTGGATGTTTATTCTCTCAGACATTGTCCTCATGCTCATGATTTCACTGAATTTTTCCCACAGCCCTGTGAGGTAGGTATTGTTAGGTCTCCAGCAGATGGATTAGGAACCTGAGTTAGGGAGATTAATGACTGACCTGAAACTGCACAGGCTGGGAGGGGCAGTGTGGGTTCAGACCCAGGTATGTCAGACTCCAAGGTCCTTGTCCTTTTTTCCAGAACAGTTTTTATTATTCTAAGTAAGGAGGCCAAAGTACAGAAAGTCCTCTTGGGCACCAGTGTCTGGATGAAGTTATTCTCTCTCTTTGCAGGTCGTTTTTTCTATCAGCGGCTGGTGGAGTTCATGGCCAGGTACTTCTAATTTTGGTTTGGGCATCTTTATCCACCAAGCTTTATCTCTGTTGCTCTCTAAACTTGTTAATTTCATTTGACACTCTTTGAAGTTGTAATCAGGGTTAAATGTCTGAAGAAACATGGGCTTGGGACCATGACTAAGCCAACACTGACCTGGCGGCCACCTGCCATGGTGTTTATTAGTCCAGTGGCTATAGAAGAGTATTGTTGGATGCTACTTAACAGCTCTGCTGACCTCTGGGGCCTTTGTGTGTACACAGTAGTGGCCTTCCATCTCCTCCTGTTTGAAGCAGCATTGATACTTGGCTAGAAAGGCAGGGTACCTCTCAGGGTGGAGTGTGCCTTGTGCCCTGCGCACAGTGTGCCCTCCCAGACCGCAGAGCCAGATTCCTGACACCTGCTCCTTTTGTACACAGCGGCCCAATCCGGGCCTACATCCTCGCCCACAAGGATGCCATCCAGCTTTGGAGGACACTGATGGGACCCACCAGAGTGTTTCAAGCACGTCACGTGGCCCCAGATTCAATTCGTGGAAGTTTTGGCCTCACTGACACCCGCAACACAACCCATGGCTCTGGTGAGTCTGCCTGCCCTGCCCTCGGCCACAAGTGAAGGAGGTTTGGCGCTGGTGGTCAGGCCCTATGGTGGAGGTGAGAGCCAGGTATCCTCACCATGAACTTTCCTCCCAAACGCATTTCTGTCCCTCTGTGGCGGTCTCAGCCAGGACTGAGGATCAGGCAGGACTAGAGGCTCAGGTTTCTGAATATGACTATAACTGCCTCTTAGCTCCGTTCTGCACTCCCTATGAGAACCCCTTCTGTTTCTTACCTCCCCTTACAGACTCTGTGGTCTCAGCCAGTCGAGAGATTGCAGCCTTCTTCCCTGACTTCAGTGAACAGCGCTGGTATGAGGAAGAGGAGCCGCAGCTGCGCTGTGGCCCTGTGCGCTACAGCCCGGAGGGAGGCATCCACTGTGTGGCTGGAGCAGGAGACCTGGGACCGGCCTGCCACAGGCCTGGGGGTCTGTGAAGACTGGGTAGGATTGCCGAGCCTTCTCTCGGACACCTCACAGGACCAGGGAGGCCTGGGGATCATGGCGCCATCCCTGCTGGGCACCACGCCAACCTGATGATCTGGCTCCTCACTGCCACCTCCTCTAGAATCTAGCTGTCTATCTACCTCTTTTCCAGAATGTTCATGGGTGGTTCAGAGGAATAATGGCTCCTCTCTTTTCCTGAGAACACTCATCTTTTTCAAAGAAGAGTTTGCCTAATTGACCTGCCTGAAAAATGCAGTGATTCTATATAAGCAACATTTGGCCTATCTTCCTCAATAAAAGACAGTGTTCTACTGAATCCTCAAGGCTAGGAGCCCTACTTTAGGTGATTTCTCTCTCTCCTTAAGTGGAGTAATTAAAGCCGTCCTGAAGCCAAGTTTCTGGTCTGAGCTAAATGGAGAGAACTGTGTAGAAATCTCCCAGGAGGTTCACACCCAGTGTACAAACTGTCCATTGCATAAAGGCACCCAGAGCTGAGTGTGGGCACTTGGCATAGGGCTGTATCCTGAGGGAAGGGGCACCTTTTATTTGAATAAAGGTGTGTCTGCCAGCAGAGGTATGTTTTTATGATTCACTTTTTTTCTGATTTGCACAAATCCAATAAAGTTAGCCATGTCTTTGTTTTAGCTGAGGGTGACAGTTATCTAATGCTTCATTACAAATCATCTCAAAATTTACTAGCTTAACATGATAATGATTTATTTTTATGTGTCTCTGGATTGGCTGGGTGATTCTGCTGGTCTGACTCAAATTCATTCATGTGGCTGCATTCGGCAGATGGGTCAAATATGGTCTTATCTTGAGCCTCTTCATAGCATGGTTGTTTCAGGGTTCCGAGAGGGCAGGCCCTCATTCACAGGCTTATCAAGCTTCTGCTCATATCGTGTTTGCTAATATCCCATTGGCCAAAGCAAGTCATGTGGCCAAGCCCAGAGGCCATGTGGGAAGAGACTGTATAAGGGCAGTGATACCAGGAGGTGTGAATCACAGGGGGCCATTACCATGACAATCTACCATACTGGGAGGAGTGAAGAACCTAAAATTGATATAGGATTTGTGAAAACAGGTTATTTGCACAAGCCAACAAAGGAGATGAAGAAATAGCTAGAGAAGGAAGGAAAAAAACAAGGATGTGTGGATCAGGAAAGTCAAGAGAAGAGAGTGTTTCTGGAGAATGAAGCAATGTTGAATATTGTTGAGAAGTCCAGGATGAAGCCTTTAAAATACCCCCTAAATGTGGCGGCATTGAGGTCACTGTGACCTTGGTGAAAGCAGAGCCTCTGTGGCAATAAGGGGGTTACCTCACATGTAAGATAATGAGCTAAAGCATTTATATTGTCGTACTACCTTTGGGCTGAGAGTGACATGCCTAGGAGTCTTAGAGACTCTTCTTACATCTGAATCTAGAAATGTACCTGCATATGCCCCCATTTTCTCTTCCTGTTACAATACAGGAAGGGCCCTGCTTCCCATTAAGCCAGTCCTTCCACGTGCTCTGAATCCCATCTTGCTCTTTGGTTTTCTAGTCTGTAGTACACATAACCTTTCTCTACTGAGTCTGGTTTGATGTCTCCCATTTTTCAAAATCTTTTTAACCCTACTTTCCCCTTCAGCTACCTCTGTTACTTCGTCCCTGGACAAAGAACCCACATTAGTTGTCTGCTCTGACAGGCTCATCCCCATTGTCTCAGCAGCCCACTCCAGGGTGACTTACATGCTAACCACACCAGAAGAGACTGGTCTTCATGCCTTTATCACTGTTGCCCAGCATGGTGCCAGACATAGGGATCATTGCTTTGTAAATAGGACTAGGCCATCCATACCCTGGTCTTTGACATCACTTAGGATTCCTCCATCTCTAAAGTCTTTAAACCTACTTTTTTTAAAGTTTATTTATTTATTTTGAAGGGGGAGGGAGTAGGGCAGAGAGAAAGGAGAGAGAAGCCCAAGCAGGCTCCACTCTGTCAGCACAGAGCCTGACATGAACTGCTAGCTCGTGACCTGAGCTGAAAACACAGCCACCCAGGTGCCCCTAAATCCTACTTTTATTTATTTTAATTTTTATGTTTACTTACTTATTTTGAGAGAGAGATAGAGAGACAGCACAAGCATAGAGGAGGACAGAGAATCCCAACGGGCTCTGCCCTGTCAGCACAGAGCCTGACATGGGTCTCAATCTCAAGAACCATGAGATCATGACCTGAGCTGAAATCAAGAGCCAGTCACTTAACTGACTGAGCCACCCAGTTACCCCTAAATCCTACTTTTAAATCACAGTCTTTTGTGTCCCTTTCTCACATCTTCTAAACCTAGACCATTCACTAGTCCACTCTCCTAGGTAACTTTTTCTTATATTCTCTCTCCAAACTTCCAACAACCTCTTCCTTCCTTTTCACTGTCTGGCTGTTGACTGCGTGCTCTTTCAGGAAGATAACAGAAACAGCCAAGAGAGAAACTCCTCAGACTCCCAAACCTCACTGAGCACCTACCTCCATCTGTGCTCACATACCCTGGTTCCTTCTGTTAGGATGAGCAACGGACAAACCTCCTCAGCTCCTATCTAAAGCCTCCCCCCATTTCATGCAGGAGATCTTATTGCCTCCTACCTACTTCCTACCTAGTCAAGATATTGCTCCAGTAATTATTTCATATGCTTCCTGCACCATCAGGACATAGATCTTACAAACATGCTATAGTTTTGCTCATTAATAAATGAAAGCAAGCAAGCAAGCAAGCAAGCTAGCTAGCTAGCTTTTTTTTTAAGAAAGAAAGAAAAAAAGCCTGTTGCGGATGAAATGACACAGAGGACAAGACACACACAAAAGACAGACACAACTCCGGTCGGAGGAACAATTCTACGCAAGCCCCTCTTGTGGTTTATTTTATACCCCGGTAACTGGATACAAACTGAAATCTACAAGATGCATTCCTTTCCCAATTAAGGGCAAGTAGCCAAACACATTTCAAGGACGGGGGGAGCAAAGGGAGGAAGTGACCATAACATGTTTACTAAGAGGCCTGCCCACAACTCCAGCCTTCTCCTTACTTCTAAGAAGGGCATGTTCCCTCGTTTGCTAGCGGACCATTAAACTTGGATATTGTGTGCAAGCCTCCTGGCAGAGCACCCTGTTTGCAGGCATGCTTTGCCCAGGCAGGGAGCCCCATGTGCAGGCACATCCCCGCGTCCCTAACCACGCTTTCTTGTGGTCACTGTCAGGCTCCCACAAAGCCTTTCTTTTTTTCTTTCTTTTTTTTTAAAAATTTACATCTAAGTTAGCATACAGTGCAATAATGATTTCAGGAGTAGAATCCAGCGATTCATCCCCTACATATAACACCCAGTGCTCATCCCAGCAAGTGTACTCTTTAATGCCCCTTGCTCATTTAGCCCATCCTCCCCACCCACAACTCCTCCAGCAACCCTCAGTTCGTTCTCTTATATACTTAAGAGCCTCATGCTTTGTCCCCCTCCCTATTTTTATATTATTTTAAAAGCAAACTTTTCCTAACACCACATCTCTTTCATGCTACTGTCCCATATCTCTGCTCACCTTTATAGCAAAACTCTCAATAGAATAGCCAGTGACTTCCAGTCTAGACAGAATGGTATAGACCCATTTATCTCTGTTCCTCCATGCTGAGTATGACTATAACCCTGAAGCGTGGAGCTTGCTTGGGATTCTCTCTCCCTTTCTCTTTCCCCTCCCTCATTCTCTCTCAAAATAAAATAAAAACTTTATTGTTAAAAAAAATTTTTTTTTACATTTTATTTATTTTTGAGAGACAGTAAGACAGAGCATGAGTGGGGGAGGGGTAGAGAGAGAAGGAGACAGAATCTGAAATAGGCTCCAGGCTCTGAGCAAGCATTCAGCACAGAGCCTGATGTGGGGCTCGAATCCACTAACCGTGAGATCATGACCTGAGCCGAAGTCGGACGCTCAACTGACTGAGCCACTCAGGCGCCCCTAAAATAAAAACTTCAAAAAATAATAAAATGAAATCCACACAGACATTGTAGAGATACCACACAGGCCTGGCCTAGCTATCTTCTAGGCCATAACCAGATCATAAAGAGAGAACGCTCTTTATGATCTATGTGGGAATGTTCTTTGTGACTTTTCCTATGGGAAAAAAGAATAGTTGACGTAGGATTTACTCGGTCTGGATGTCTTCCAATGCAGAAGGCAATATGGAAGAGTGGTTAAAGAGCATCTGTGACACTACATTTGAGTTTCCCCATCCATTCATAGATATTTGTTAGAGGACTAGTGTGTATCAGCTTCTACCAGGAAGTGAAGCTTCAGCAGAAAAGACAGGCAAACAAAACAGACTTAAGTGATTTTGGCTCTTGCCCTCCCACCTCCTCAATTAGTCCAAGATCTCCTCTGCTCTGTTTTCCACAAATCAGCACATACTGAAATGTTTACCATTTGGCTGTACTTTCCTAAGAAATATCCAGACGAAACTGGATTACAATTGTTTCTGATCAGCTGAAAATGCTAAAACATGGATTTTTGGTAATCACAGGAGACCAGACCCTTTCCTGACCCTAACTGAAAACTCTTTCCTGATTAATAAGAGGATTGCTTTAATCAAATATGTACAGACCCACAGATTCATTCCATCCCATGCAGAAATGCTAACTTTTTATCTTTTATTAGCACAAATGCCATAAAACCGCCTTCCTAGTCTTTAAACATCACCAATATTTCTCTGCAAACTATTCAGTAAAAGGTTTTGTTTTTTACAGGTTTACATCTTTATCTGACAATTAAATAAACTCCGAATTTTTTTTCAGTATGTTTCTTTGTTTTATGACCTGACATCTGGGTTATAAGAGTTGTTATTACCATAATTATTTGCCATGATAAATAGCATTTGCATTGGGCCCATCATTTCACTCTCTAGTACTTTTCATGAAAATCAATTTAATCCTGCTATTATGATTTCATAGATAGGGAAACGGGTTTAGAGGGGTTAAGTAACTTATCCACAGTCACAAGTAAGAAGAGACAAAACAGGTTCAGGATGTGCTCTTTTTTTTTTAAATTTTAAATGTTTTATTTATTTCTAGAGAGAGAGAGACAGCATGAGCAGGGGAGGGTCAGAGAAAGAGGGGGACAGAATCTGAAACAGGCTCCAGGCTCTGAGCTGGCACTCAGCACAGCCTGACACGGGGCTCGAACCCACGAACTGTAAGATCATGACCTGAGCCAAAGTCGGATGCTTAACCGACTGAGCCACCCAGGCGCCCCCTTTTTTAAAAAATTTTTTATGTTTTATTTCTGAGAGAAAGAGACCGAGAGAGAGAGAGAGAGAGCATGAGCAGCGGAGGGTCAGAGAGAGGGAGCAGGATGTACTCTTAAACAAACCGCAGATAACTCTGACTACTAGCATAGAAAGGTTTGTATCCTACTAATCTGTCCTTAAAGGAAAAGAAAATCTTCTAAGCAAAAAATGACACTCTCTTTGCCTTGACTAGGTTTTTGGAGAAGAGAAAAGAAGCCAGTGAGAATTAAGCCCCTGACACAGATGCAGTCTTGTGGGGGGCACCT